TTAAGACATCCTTTTGTTTCCAACTATATTAATTATATATTTCCAATATGTGTGAAACTATAAACAAGTCTATATTTGTGGGATGAAGATGGTAATTAATATTTGGAAATATAATTTTCTCTTACATTTTTTTAATATATCCATACATTAAAATGAAGATTTAAATATGAGTAATTCATATTTGTTGATAAGAAAGCTCATTAAATAGGGATATATTAGAAACTAAAAAATCATCGATGCTATAAACAAGAAAATGATCAATATGACACACGAAAAAGAAAAGCAAGTCCATATTTATGAGATGAAAGAATTACTACATAATAAACATGCATTCATTGTACAAAGAAAAAGTAACTACAAAAATGACAAAATTATCTAAAAATCAGCTCATTTCGCTAAAAAAAATTAAACCATTCGTACAATCCTTGTTGACAATATTGGCGTTGTCAAAATTCGGACGCTATATGAGTAGCATGATTCTTCGCTGAATAGGCGAAATCATTTCTTTCGCGTTCAATTATCTTAGGATATAAGAAAAACAGCCAGGAACACAATTAATTTGGTACCTTTTTCAAACTAACAGAAGCATGAAAGCGGAGGATTGCAGCAATAAACAATTTCCGGAGCCCTTTTCCGTAATCCTCATGCACTTGTAATTTTCAAAAACGCATTTTTTTTTAGTTATATCATGCAAGAAAAAGCAAAATCGATGACTATAAGGTTCGACAACGAAAAAAAAAATCGTTGGTGTCGGATATCTAGGGGCCACTCAAAAAAGTGTGGACCCACTCCAAAGTAAATAAAAGACGCTTATTAAAAACTTGTACATTAGAGGTGAGGTCGGACCACGGGATTTATTCCTTCAGAACGGTCAAAGTTGTTGCTTTCTGAAAAAAAAATAACTAGCAAGTTGAAGGAATGTTCTCCAACGACATCAGTACCACGAGTTACAACAAATCAGAGATAATGAGGTGTCCAGGGGGCGGAGCCATGAGAGGTAAAAAAAATTTAAATGGGCTTGGGGGTAGTGCTGACCCAGTGAGTGCTGTTATGCTATTCAATCACGAGAAAGCAACAATCCACCGTATAAATTCATTCATGCAGAGCAATGACAAAGTATGTGACTTCCTACTTTAAATGCGAATTGAGATTTCGGAATGTGACATTTGTCACTTTTGAATTATAAGATCACACTGTATAACTTGATTTTTTTGCATAACATCTTTGGCTAAGTGTGAATCGAGATTTTGTATTAGAAAGTGACATCCTATTAATTTTTTCCTATTTAAAAAGCCAAACGCTTTGTAATTTAGGGTCTGTTTGATTTAAAGATGAAATTTGAGTGAAAAGAAAACGAACTGCAGGGAATTGAATTGTCAAGAATTTGTTTTACTAAGAATTGTCAATTAATTGTGTTTGATTTGTATAATTTTTCATCTGAAAAATGTTGAAATTTTCTATCTTTGGTGTTCGTTTGACTTTTTTTTATGAAAATTATCAATTAAATGGATAAAGTTTCTTACAATTGGGGATATAATTTGTTTGGATTACCAAAAAAAAAAAAAAGAATTTTTTTTTGTGTTCGGTTGACTTTGTTTTACATGGAAATTGTTGATTGAAGGGATAATTTTTTTACAATTGATGATATAATTTGTTCCTATTGTCAAAAAAAAAAAAAAAACTAAAAACCACCTAAAAGGTGGGATTTGAAATTCAACTAAAACCAAGAAAATGGGTCACGTAATGACAAATGTAGAAAACCAATTATTGGGAAAAAAAAAGTGTCATTTAACATGACAAAAGTAAGAAATGAAATTTCAATTCCATTTTTCATTAAAAAAAAGTCCAATCAAACATGCCTTTAGATTTTTTTTAGCAAAATATCTCTGACACAACCTACAAAGTGTTTATAAAAATCTTTTAAACTGATATTTATATATACTTTTTTGCTTTGTATTATATGTGATGCAAAGCTCTTCATTTTATGTAACCGGTCAAATTAGTAGTATGGCGATGCAGTTTTGGAATGTTATTTTTTAACAAAAGTAACAAAGAATGTTTTTATATACTTTAAGACACGTAATATTTCGATCAATTTAAGAAGAGAAGCACTATACTATATGTACAGAAAAAAATCAAAAATCATACAGATTACATACATGGGGGTGCGCTCCAGTTATTCAGTATACACTAACATGCAGTCACCGTTAAATTAAAAGGTCCCACATTGTATAATTCGAATTTCTTTTAAAAGAACATCACGTGGATCCGATCTTATAAAGAATTGTGTTATTTCTCTTAATAAAGTTGACCTTTTAAAATGGAACTCAAAATCTTAATACAACCGAATAACGAAATTAATTATTTTGAAAACCAAATGGGAATGTTTAAAAATTGTTACTACTTTGTCGTTTAAATTGTGACACGTCTTGTACAACCCAATGTGTACGAAATGCTTTTGTTAGGGTTTAATTGTCAAAATAATATCAAAAGCATGTAAGTTTAAAGGGTTATGTTACATATACATAATTTTTTACTTAATCTTTTACACCCCACTCACATTATGAGGTGGGGACCACGAGACACCATTTTTAAAAACACATGGGGCGCGGCCCCATGTGAGGGGGGTACACCATTCGGTCATCCCCCTCGGTACAAGGGGATAAACCCAAGTTTAAAATTGTGGGACCCACCGTTTACCTAGACGTGTGTGTGTGTGTGTTTTTGGTGGCGTGAACTGTGGGTGCCGCGCTGTGAACATAGTGGGTCAATAGCACATATGAAGGTAATTAACACGCTATTTAAGTCTCGTTTGACTCCATTAAAATTATAATTTATTTTTCTCTCTCTTTTTATGAATCATACATTTTTTCAATAAAATAATATTACACGTAAATTCAAAATTTCTTCTTCATTAACCATACATTCTAAAAAATAAAAATTACTCCCAAAATTATAATATCAAATAATGAGAGCCAAACGGAATTTTAGTGGCTTTATATTAGTTTTTTTTCTGATATTTTAAAACACCAGGGTATTTGACAAATTTCCATGAAGTAGACTTGGAGTGGGCCCTAAAATGGCTTGGGCTTATCTTGAAATATCCCATGCTATTTTGGACTCTTTCTAAGCACTTGCCCATTTACTGGGCCATCTAAGCCGCATTATGATGTAACGGAACACTGACAAAGATAACTTGTTACCTACAATTCTACAAATACTTCCTATGGTAGTCAATGCTTTCCCATTTCCCTTCCCATTCCCATTTCATTTAGCCACTGTTTAGTTTGAATAAAAATTAAATTTTTAGTAGATTTTGATAAAAATTAGTGAAATGTATGATTTAAAAGTTGATAAAAAAAATGTATGATTTAAAAGTTTAAAAGGCCTGCAATGGTCCAATTTACTGTTCCAACAGTAAAAAAAAATGCTAAAAATGTCTAACAAATGGGGGCTTAAGATATATATTCTCACTTGGGAGATGAAGAATCCACACTTAGCCAAAATTGACAATAAATTACACAACCAATTCATTAATAAAATGGAATTGAGCTTGAATCTTATGGTGGTCGATGG